AGTATTGTTACAGTATCTCTCCCTCAGTCTCCTTAATGGGGAGCGAGCCTATTGCTGGATACCCCCTAGTTAATCCCCATATTTTTGCAGTTCAGGTTGCCAAACAACTTGTTGGTACTCATTTCTCCTCCTATGTGATGAGAGGCATTGCAAGTCAAGTCTCTCACCTAAGAACGCAGTACAAAGACTCATGAACAGGCCTTGAATCCAGACCTATTGATCTGGAGTGTACGACAATAACCACTGGGCCACTGTACCTCACACATCAGTACATCACAAGCCTCTGAAAATAACATATTATGTATTGTTGTCATACCTGGAGATGTATTAATAATCTGGCAATCCAGGTCACTGCAACACACATCCGATAGAAACTGACTGATCATTGCTAAAAAAAAAAGCATACCGGTAACTGTAACATGACAACACAAGGAAGTCTGCAGGAATATCAAAATGTTTGTATCACTCTACAGCAAACTCACCCACAAAAGTTCCAAGGAAGTGGGATAGTGGCCCCTGACAGACCAGCATCCATGCAGAAGAAGCTGCAGCAATACTTCAAGTCAGTTTCTTGCTATCACACTGGAGACAAGGAACTCTCCTGTAATGAGCCACTAAAGTTCAAAGACACTCTTTTACTGTAATGTACATATCAAACACAAGTATGCATGCTGTTACACAAAGTAAATTTAAGTCTATGCATGATTAAGTGAATGGCTCCCACAGAATGGCTTCAGAAGATGATCCTTTATATTGTGACTTACCCAGCAGAACACTGGTATATATCTTTTCCCTCTACATTCATCATCCTTGGCATACTTGGTCCATGCAAGTCAACATCCAGTATGCCAACCTGGAAAATAAAGAGATAACACAAAGATTAACCATTTTTTGTGTAAAATCTTCAAGACGGCTGTTACCAGTGGCAGATCCACAAAATTTCACCGGGGTGACTCTGGGGTACAGGGAAGAAAGACTGAGAAGGTGCTGGTGGGAAGGCAAAGTGATCATAACCGAGTGTCACCAGTTCACACATCACGTCACCAATACTGTAAATATTCTGATAACAAATCTCTCTCCCAAACGTAAAACACGAAAACAGGACCAATCTGAAACGTAGAAAATCGATTCCCCTCCCCAACCCCTCCCCCAGCGTAGGAATCAATGACTTAATGCGGGCAAATGCAGAAATGTAAACCATAAGTCAACGGAAAGCAAAGATTTCAGCCTACCTATGTCCTTCTTTCCTTTGTTGTAAAGAGTCCATGCTATCTGTGTCGTAAACAGTACTTTTACCAACTCCTCCTTCACCGGACAAAACAAGAACACGTGCTTGATAGATTTTACCACTTCTTCAAGAGTTTGCTCCGACTGACCTACGAACAAAAACCACTTTGTAACTCAGTGAGAATTACAGTCAGCGCTTTTACTTTACTTGCCTACTAGAGCTCTAGAGAAAGAGGAAAGTTCCAACAATATCGCTAGGCATGCAAATAACATTTGTCAAATGAAATTTGTCTCTAACCTTCAGACAAGAAGGTAGTACCGTGACGGCGCACGTTTTCCAGCCCTTTTCCGTTGAGGAAGCTGGAATTGTATTCGAAAAAACAACATAAAAGGATTTATACTTCGGCCTATTTTTACTTTAAAGAAAAAAGAATAAATACTCCCTTTGTGCAAACAGCAATTTTTATCACATTCCTTGCAGGACAGCAATAACCGTCCGCCATCTTGAATTTGAGAAGGAAACTGCTGGTCTTCCTCTCGTGCAGTCGGCTCAAGAGGCGTGGACCTGCTGTAGGTCATCTTTGGAGACACAGAGGCAGCTAGTCGACGCGATATTTTCGGAGAACGCGATATTTTCGGGCGAAAGTTTACATCAAGGAGTGAACTTTAGCCCGAAAATATCGGGTCGCCAGAAAATATCGCGTCGTCCCGACTAACTGCCCCTAGCCCAGGGTCTCCTAAGATGCTCAAAGGTTGGCCTAAAATGTCTAATCGCCCGCGGATAAGCTAAGGGCGGGAGATGACTGGCATCGCATTTCAGGCTCTGAAAGATATGAACAAAACCACAAATGAAAAGGGGGAGGAAGGGCTATAGTCCCACCACTTTTTTTTCTTGGGTTGAGTTTTTTAGGGCTCCAGATGACATGGATAATGTACGAATTTTGGCGGCTGGAAAGTAACAAAACGGTGGAAGAGTGAGTCAGTGACCCCTTATGGAATAAATATATCTCACGAGTCATTTGATTTTTTTCGGTATAAACGCAAGCCTTAAGGCGAGTGTGTAAACCAAGAGGGTGGGAAATTTTCCGAAGTAGTCGGAATTCTGAAGATATTCTGCACATGTTTCGACAGAGCTCAGCTTGCCGAAATAGTGGATATCCGAAGATGTTGGACACTGTTCGATTTTCCCAGAGATTACCGACGATGTTTCATTTGCCCAATTATATAGTCGAATTTCTGAAGATTGTTTTCTTTGGGAGTATTCGATTTTTCCGAATTGCTCGGATTTTCGCGGAGTTACCGATCCGAAGGTTACCGAAGATGTTCTAATCGTCGAATTAGTCGGATTTCCAAATATTGGCTTTTCTTCGACGATGTTCGATTTGCCGAATTAGTCGGATTTTCGAAGAGGTCCAACAATGTTCGATTTTCCCGGAGGTTATCAGAGATTACTGAAGATGCTCTTTTCGCCGAACCAGAGGGATTTCCAAAGGTTAACTCCTTCGACAGTGCTCGATTTGTTGAATTAGTCGGATAACCAAAGATGGTCGACAACGTTCCATTTTTCTTCGAGGTTACCCAAGATGTCCAAAGTTTTCCGAAGGTCACAAAAGATCGGACGAGTAAATAATGAATGATATCGTGACTGAGCTCCTGTCTTCATTTCCAGTTCTAAAATGCGTTTAAGCACAGTTTGGACGCTTCAAACACCCATAACAAGGCTTCGATTGAGTCTGGAATAAACGTGGCAGAAACCCAATCAAAAGTTAGAAATAGCCATAGAGAGCTATTTTCACACATGCCAAGACTCTACAGCCCTGAAACTGCTTGATATAACCACATATAGGCCTATAAAGCTCCACATAACAATACATTTTCACAAAATTGAGCTGATACAGATATAGTCCTACCGAGAGCCCTACATCTTCCTGGTAGCAACACAAAGTCCTTAGTAAACTCATATATAACCATTTATAACCAAACTTTAAACTTGCCGATTACATTCCAGAAAATAACTTTAAAGTACATCGTCATTCAAAACCTTACGAAGTCAGACAAGACCATACATAATTAGATATTCCCCACTGTTTTACACAGACCAACAAAACGTTAAATATAGGTTACTGACGAAGCGTACGGTCAAGATGGCTGGATATTAGCCAAGTTCTTTGTCCGTTAAGGCCGGGAAATCGCACGGGCCTCGTCGTAGAGAACATCCTGAGGATGCAGCAAGCAACTTTTTCCTGTCTTATGTAATTCATAACAAGTCAATAAACTGTTTAGAGACAACAAAAGAAAATAATTAGTAACTTAACTGCAACCGCACAAATTTTAGCCTAACTTCAGCGCTATCCATAAATTTTTTATTCATAAAGTAATTCTTCTCATTCTCGATTAACCCAATAATTAAACATTTCTTCTTCATTCACAAAATAGATAGATAACATGTACACCAGTTTTTATGTATGGTATGCATTAGGTGAAGCATTAATTCGAGATACAAACTACTCCTGACCTTGTCATTACTTCTAGAGGCAAAAAGAATATATACTATCAATTCAATAGCCATTGGCATTATTGTTGTATAGGAACTTGAATTGCTCAAGGCTCAAAAAAACTAAACAGAAAATAGAGGTTCGTCTGATCCAATTCATGGTTGATCATACAATCAGATATTGTGTCCACATTTCTTCATTCCTCCAAGTTATTGAGAAGTACAACTGGCTCCCGAAAAACCCAGATCAAGTGTTTATTCGTTCTTTTAGAATTTTGACTGCAGAAAAAAGAAAGGAAAAAAGGAAAACAGAAATGACAACCTGCAATCCCAGCTTGAATACAGACACAGTCCTCGGGGGGTCCATATGAGCCAGAAGCGCTGAGGTGAGTAGAGGCCCGATCAGAAATCAACCACCCTATTCCGCCACTCCATCCAGACTCATGTTTGCAGTGGATTGTCGCATGGTACTCATGATACCTGCATGCTGTGACCAATAGGATAGGTTTCCAAATCACGCGGCACGGAATGCCTAGTAGACTTCTCGACTGCAACCACACCTCTGGACGTTAAAGCAAAACAAGCACTAAGAAGCGCGCAAAACTCTCCACCCAGTAGCGGTGAACTCGAATTTTTCTAAGAAACAAGTCGAAAAATAGGTATTTAGATTACAAGTCGAAAAATAGGTGTTTAGATTAATAATTCACAATGGGAAACTAAGTTTAAACGTTTTATGATTTCATGTTGTCTTCGGTCTCTTCGTGTCTTATCACAAATAGTTTTTTTGTGAAAAATGAAGAGGGTAAAGGTAAATGTGCGAGAGTCAACTCCTCGGATAAAGTAACTGCTTTCCATA